GAATGGATTAAGATATTATATGAGTCTTCCACATCTAAAGTAAAGGTTAACGGTATTCTTTCTGCTCCTTTCCCATTCTTTAGAGGCCCTAGGCAAGGATGTCCACTTTCACCCTTGTTTTCAATATCTGCATGGAACCCTTGGCTTGAACTATTAGACAACATTGGGAGATTTACAGAGTACTACATAATTCATTTGAACACAAATTGGTTTTATTTGCAGATGATATTCTTTTGTTTATTACTAAGCCTCATACTAGTATTCCAGTGTTGATGCAAATGATAGATGCCCTTAGTAAAATAGCAGGATATTCTATTAATTGGTCTAAATCGGAATTGATGCTAGTAGGTGAAAATTTAGTTACCCATCCATTTAAGAAATATCAATTTCATATTTGTACTGAATCTATTAAATATTTAGGTATGTACATACCAAAAGATATAACCCAGTTAGAAACATCTAATATAAATAAAATATGCAAAGAGATTTCTTTAGATATGGCTAGATTCGAGTCAATAAATCTCACCCTTTGGGGAAAGGCGAATGCTCTCAAAAGGAATATTATTCCCAGATTAATTTATATTCTGAGAGGAATTCCTGTTCAAATATTTGGAAAATATTTTCAGAAAATAAATTGTTTAGAAAAAATTTATGGGGTTCTTCGATTCTGAGAATATCTTTACAGTAAATGCAACTACCAGTTAATGAGGGAGGATTTGTTTTCCCAAATCTAGAGCTATATGATCAAGCTTGCCTCTTGTCAAGTATTAAATACTAGAAGCCAACAATTGGCATTAATTTTCCGATTTGGGCAACATTGGAATGTACATACATAGCACCTTTGGTTGGATGGCCAGTATTAGGATCTAAATACAACAGAACTCTAATATCTTTGGAAACAATTATAACAGTTAGAAAGCTATGGAATGTAATGCCTAATAAAAAAAAGATCTGATTGTTTTTCCCATGCTAAATTGACTCTATGGGGAAATCCAACATTAAAAATTGGGAAAAAGATGGTGATATGGAAAAGTTAGATGGAAGCAGGGATATTGACTTTGGACCAATTGATAGATGATGAAGATGAATTTTTAACATATGCTGTGTTAAGAGATAAATATCATCTGTATCCCATTGGAAATATCTACAGCTACAACATTTGTTAACAACATGGACCAGCAGCATTTTCAACTTCCAAGACACCTCAGATACTAGAACAGCTTGTTAAATCCTTTAGAACTAAAAAACCTACTATTAGCTTTTATAGATATTTGTTATCAA